GCGTTTCGGCCAGCTCCCCGGACCAGCCCGCCCCGGCCCCAGATGGCTCCGGTGCCCGTTGCGGGCGGCAGGATCACTTTGTGTCCAGCTCAGTCGCCAGTCCCAGAGATGCCCGCTTGATGGGAAACATCTCTTGGGCTTGGCAGCCCGCAGAGGCCATCTGCTAGTCGACGAGCAGGGGCCGAGGAGGACTGCCACTATTTTAAGCAAGTTGCAGCTATAACTGTACACAGCATAAGCAGATGACAAAAACACATTACACATTTCTACAGGAAAATCGTGTGCTAGTTGCTACTGAGCAGAGCAGTGACCTGTGGATGAGCGTGGCGGGCGATCTCCTCCACGCGGCTGCCTGCTGCTGCTCCAGTTTCTTTCTAGGGCTTTTGTGCTCCCTCGCTGCAGCACCCAACTGAGCCCTTGCAGGAATGATGCAAACCAACATTTATTATCTGGCAAAGTTAACCTGTTCTCCTTTTCCTTTCCAGTTCCTGTGCACGCTCGCGGACATCACACGCGGCTAACGCTCGCAGCCGGAGCCCCCAGATGGGACTAGACCCACACTCCTGCGCTCCTTATGGGGTTGATGGCAGAATCATGTTACCTGCTACCTAAGCTTTCTGTGGCTGATGTTACAGTTTGCGGCTATGGTCCTGCACCAGGCTTCATGCACAGACACTCAGTCCTGATCCAGTCCAAGACTTATTAGCAGAAGCACAGAGATCCCCAGCTGTGGACCGGACCCCCCGACCACCCTGCAACGTAGGGGCTGCAGCGCTGGAGAGTTACTATGCGGCTTGGACTCCTTGTGGCGGTGGTTTTTCTAAGCTCCATGGATCTAACAGGCAGCAGCAAAGTGGTGAAGGGCAAGAGGCAAAGACGAAGTATGTATGAAACCCCTTTCTCCTCCATTTGATGCTGTGCTATTGATACAGATCGCGAATTTACCTAACGCATAGAACCGGTCAGAGCCGCGAGGGGCCTGGCAAAGCCAATGTCCTCCCTTTCCCTGCTCCCACGTTAATGACGTGCACTAACTTATCCTGCTGGAGCTGCAGGCGATTACCCTGTGCCCAGCAGCAATAACCCCACGGGCACCTCCAGGCAGGGCTGGGAAGGAGCCATGGCTGAAGGCCGGGGGGCTTTTTTAATAGCTAGCGCCTCATGGGGTGAGCCAGGAATTGCAGGGGAGCATTTCACTCCTCTCAGCAGTGCTGGGGCTCGCCTCAACCCTCCCTCCACCCCACTGCCCTGTGGGCGCAGATCTGGCCATGCATGTTGCTGCCCAGCCTTCCCTGCTGCTGCAGCGGGGAGCCCCGAGCCAGCAGGAGCCCAGCTGCTCCCCAGCCAGTCCCATCTCTGTGCAGTGGTGCTCAGCACTGGCTCGTGCAGCACCACCACCATCACACACACATCTACCAAAACAGAGAAAGAAAGAGATAGACAGAAGGAGAGAAAGAGAGCTTGCAAGCAGGAGCACACGCATCTCTCCAGGCACGGCTCGCTAGCAACAGGCAGGTGCTCAGCAGCACTCCCAAGCCTTCCTCCCACACTCATCATCAGCCAGCTCTGCAACCCCACTCTTGCTTTATAGCCTCAGTGGGGCACCTGGGTGTCCACCCCGGCCCTCGCCCCAGGTTGGGCTCTCGCCCCAGCCTCACGTTGGGGCTGCTCCAGGGATCAGACCTGCTCCGCAACCACCCCAGCGGCAGGACTAGCCCCAGCTTGGCCACTGCAGCAGGAGGCAGAGCCAAGGCCATCAGATGCAGCACAGCAAAAGGTGCCTGCTTTTAGCAGGGCTGAGGGTGCAAAGTGCTGTTTTTAATTATCCCCATCAGCTGGAGTGCTCCCTGGCCAGCTGCACGCAGTGACTAACGCGGGCATCCTGGGTTAATTGGCTCAAACGCCGCCACATGGGTTTGCCCTCATTTATGCAAGCTAGTTTTAACACTGTTTTACGTTAAAATCATTTTAAACTAAGTTTTATAAAAACTTATATTTAACTTATATTAAAACTATGAGGGTTGAGCTTGGTGAGAAGAGGGGAAACTCGGTGCCGTGGCACTGAGGTGTCGCCGGTGTGCGACGAGGCCGTGCTGCCCGCCGTGCAGGGTGTCCCGGGTGCTGGGTCACGGTCCGGACCCGCTGAACAGCCCCCGGCCAGGCACGGAGCATCCGCTCGCTGTGGGCAGGGACCGGCTCCGCTTTCTGTTTCATTTTCTGAGGCTGGAGCTGGCTCCATGGCCCTGGCAGGGCCCTGGGGAGCCCCAGCCATGTCACCGCCAAGCAAGCGCGGGAGCTGCTGGGATTTAGAGTCGCTGACAGAGGGAGAGGAAAGTTTTCTTGCCTCTCAGTCTGGCACGTGAATGCTCTGGTGCTCCATGCTTGCTTTTGAAGGCTAGTAAACACAGCATTTAAGGTAATACATTTGTAAATGCACAGCCCTTGTATAAACAAGGACGCTGCTTGCATAATAAACTAATAAAAATAACCTGCATTCTAGCCTGCAAAGAATGCTATTGCTTTCAAAACAAGCAGCTTTTTGTATGATAATTAAAAGCAGAAAATTCTCAAGACACGGGATTGAGTATTTTTCTTGGACTGAACCTAGACGCTGAGAACACATCTCTATTTTGAGAGCAGTGAAATCTCTGATGTTGCCAGACACACTTAACGTAAGAGGGGACACAGTGCGATCTAACTCGGGACTCAGGCCGGCTCGAGGTCTCACGCTCTCGCTCCAGCATCGCGCAGGTCCCTCCTCGGGAGCCTGGTGGAGCGCCGTCCCGGCACGTCCCGGAGCGTGCCCGCAGCCCGGCTGGGAGCCGGACCTGCTGCACAGCCCCCGGTCGCGGGACTCTGGGTTGAGCAGAAGATGTGGTTCTGGCCAGGCTGGGAAGGATATGGAGGAAGGAGGGTGGCTGCAGGAGCAAGACATGGTCCAGCCAGGGTGCGTGTCCCCCCCCCATCCTGCTGGGCATCCCCAGCCTGTCACCACCTCCTATGGGGCCAGGAGGCTGGTGGGGGCTATTTGCAAGTCACGACTGCTTTCAGATCCCAGTGCCAATTGCTACCGTGGTCCCGATGCCAGTGCATACACCTGGAGCCCGCCGGGCGCGTG